CCAGAGGAGCCGCTAGACCAAACAAAAAGGCCGACAAGTCTAGCTTGACAAGAAATGGCCCCTTAGTAGGGGGCTTGTGGACGGAGTGTTCCTTTGGCTGCCACAAGACAAGTAGGTCTCTTGGATCCCACTCGCCCGAAGACTTGCTTTTCGAGTGCCAGGGGCAGGGAGTATGATAGGAAAAGATAGGATTCAGTAGGCAGAGAGGGAAAGGTAAGGACCGGAGGTCCCTGGGTGTGGAAACACATATTTTGGAACAATGCTGGGAGCATCTGACCACAGAAAAACTCCCTCCGGCATACAGTTCCTCTTAAGAATGTAATAGTCACCACCTCCTCCCTCTCAGGTTCCCCTCAGGAATTTCACAAAAGACCTACAAAAGTAGGTCTTTTGTGAAAGACAGACCATAAAAGGTATACCCACAAGGAATGATATGGCCACATAGCACCCCTCGTACGATGGAATCGAGCCAATCAGGAATGGACAACCCAGCACCTAGAGTTCTCTCACCAATAAGGGGAGGACCTAAGAAGGAACCTGGGGGAAGGGAAGGGAGGGCTGACCAGAATTATAAAACAAAGATCCTTACCTATTGTGGGTATTCACCTCCAAATGCCCCCGTCTATAAAGAGACATTTCATACTATTTTTTTTAACTTTTTTTAACTTTCAGTTTTGAGGGACAGAGCGTGAGCAGGGGAGGGGCAGAAGAGAGGGAGACACAGAATCCGAAGCAGGCTCCAGGCTCCGAGCCGTCAGCAGAGAGCCCGACGCGGGGCTCAAATTCACAAACTGCGAGATCATGACCTGAGCCACCCAGGCGCCCCCTAGTCTTACTTCCTAATCTTCTACGCGAATAAACTTTTGCCTGCTGCTCATTTTGTGTCCACTTCTTCATACTTCAAAGCGCCGAGACAACAAACCCCAGGGTATTGAGGCAAAAAAAAAAAAAAAAAAAAAATCCTGCAACAGAGTATGTGCTGAGGGACCATTCAAGAGGAGGATGTTAAAGACTAGGTATGTTTCTTAAATTCCACATGAGTGAAATCATATCTTTGCCTTTCTGACTTATTTCACTTACAAACATAGGCGAAAGGAAGAAAAAAAAATAAAAACAGAGGGAGTCAAACCGTAAGACACTTTTAAATGCGGAGAACAAACAGGGTTGCTTGGGGATGTTGGGAAGATGGGCTAAATGGGCGATGGACAAGAAGGAGGGCACTTGTGATGAGCACTGGGTGTTACTGTAAGTGATGAATCACTAAATTCTACTCCTGAAACCATTATTATACTGTATGTTAACTAACTTGGATTTAAATTTTAAGTAACTGGGTGCCTGGGCGGCTCAGTCAGTTAAACGTCCAACTCTTGATTTAGGCTCAGGTCATAATCTCACGATTCATGGATTCGAGCCCCACGCTGGGCTCTGCGCTGACCCTGTTTGGGATTCTCTCTCTCTGCCCTTCCCCTGCTCGCACACACTCTCTCTTAAAATCAGTAAACTTAAGCTTAAAAAAAAAAATAGGTATGTGTCAGTCATATTTGCAGGGCAGATCAAGGATGTTATGCACCGAGGGTATACTTAAGGGTGTGGTTCAACAAAAGGAAAGAAGGGAGGGGTGCTCAAAAAGGTTTCAGGCTACAGGAGAGCCATCCAGGCAGATCTGTTCACGTAATGTGTAATTAATTATTTACCAACTTTCGTCCTTTAGGCTGGGATCACACTTTTCCTTTCAGCACCCAGAATCTAGGGTAGCGCCTGGCGCAGGGCTAGTGAACAAAGGAGGGGGAGATATAGGTGACATGGTGCATTCTGAATTGGGAAAGAGTGAATCTGGGAGGAGAATCTGCTCAGACACAAGTATCAAAGTGGATAATTCGACATGTAGATGGCCAAGACTATGTGCAGACTGTACATAGGGGGGAAGGACAAGTAGATCAAAAGAACAGAATAGAGAGCCCAGAAATAGACCACCACAAATACAGATGGCTTTTGAACAGCTCAGTTATGGGCCCTGACCCTTCAGGCAGTCAAAAAATCTGCATATTAACTTTTGTCTCTCCTCAAAGTTAATTAAAAGTCTACTGCTGACCAGAAGCCTTACTGATAACACAGTTGATTAACACATATTTTGTATGTTATATGTGAATTATATACGTGCTCTTACAATAAAGCTAGAGAAAAGAACATGCTAAGAAAACACAAGAGAAAATGCATTTACAATACTGTATTTATTGAAAAAAAATCGGTAAATGGACCCATACAGTTCAAACCCACATTGTCCAAGAGTCAACTGTACAATCAACTGATTTTTGACAAAGGAGCAGAGGTAATACTACAAAACAAAAATAGTCTCTTCAACAAATGGTGAACTGAACATCTATGTGTAAAAAAAAAAAAAAAAAAAATCTAGACACAGACCTAACATCTTTCACAAAACTTAACTCAGGATGGATCACAGACCTAAATGGAAAATGCAAAACTGTAAAACTCCCATAAAGAAACTTAAGAGAAAACTTAGATGACATTCAGGGATGGTGAAGCCTTTTTAGATACATCAAAAATATGACCCGTGAAAGAAATAATTGATTAGCTAGGCTTCATTAACATTAAAAACTTCTGCAAAAGATAATATTATCAAGAGAATGAGAAGACAAGCTACTGACAGGGAAAAAAATATTTCCAAAGACACATCTGATAAAGGATTGCTATCCAAAATACAAAGAACTCGTGCGTGTGGGTGTGTACATACATATGCACAATTTTTATTTATTTTTGAGACAGAAACAGAGCATGAGTGGAGGAGGGCCAGAGAGAGAGAGAGACACAGAATCTGAAGCAGGCTCTAGGCTGTCAGCACAGAACTGTGAGACCCACGAACTGTGAGACCATGACCTAAGCTGAAGTCGGACACTTAACCAACTGAGCCACCCAGGCACCCCTAAAGTACAAAGAATTCTTAAAACTCAATAGTAAGGAAACTATTTAACTAAAAAGTAGGCCAAGTAGCTTGACGCTTTACCAAAGATATCCAGATGGCACATAAGCATAGGAAAAGCTCCACGTGGGTCCTCAGGGAAATGCAAATTAAAATAACGAGATCCCACTACACACAAGATTGGCCAAGATCCAGAAAACTGACAAATGTTCTGGACTGAAAAATGGTACAGCTACTTTGGAAGATAGGATGGCCGTTTCTCACAAACCTACACATACACTCACCATACAGTCCATTAGTCACACTACTTAGTATTTACCCAAAGGAGTTGAAAACACATCCACCCCAAAACTGCAAATGTTTATGGCAAGATCGTAACTGCCAAAACTTAGGAGGCAACCAAGATGTCCTCTAGCAGTGAATGAGTGGTAATGTGTGGCACATACAATGGAATACTATTGAGCATTAAAAAGAAATGAGCTATTAAGCTATGAAAAGACACAGAAGAGACTTAAATGCATATTCCTAAGTGAAAGAAGCCAATCTGAAAAGGATACAGTACTGTAGGATTCTAAGTACGTGCCATTCTGGACAAGGCGAAACTATGGAGGCAATAAAAAGATCAGTGATCGTGGAAGGTTGGGTAGGGGAGAGATGAACAGGCAGAACACAAGAGTTGTTGCAGAGCAGTGGAAATGCTCTGTGGATTATAATAGGTCATTCTTCCAAACCCATCCAGTGTTCAACACCAAGAGTGATCCCCAAGGTAAGCCATGAACTTTGGGTGAATCGAACACATCAGTGTAGGTTCATCCCTGGTAAAAAGTGTACCATTCTAATGAGTGATGTGGATATCGGGTGTGGCTGTGCATGGTAGAGGCAGCGGGTACATGGGAAATCTCTGCACCTTCTCCCTTTTGTTATAAACAAACCTCAAACTGCTCTAAAAAATATTATTTAAACAAAAACATAACAAAAAACCCAAATCTATATTCATCTTTGTTTTTAGGCCTGAAGTTAACGAGGAGGTAGCCTGAAATGTCAGACACGGATTCTGGCTCACTTCCTAGATGATTTCCTCCTGTGAAGTGAGTGGCAATTCCAGTGCCCAAATGCTTGATGTTTTAATTTGCCTGAACAGGAGGGATTCCCCTGTCAGCCTTAGGTATTTGACATCTGGTCAGCTAATTCACATCTATGAATCCTCTATTAATGTGTCTTTTCAAAATACCCAGCAATCTACTGGGGGGGGGGGGCAAGGAAGAGAGAGATGACAAGATTATAATTAACAGGCTGAATTTAAGATTATCTTTATTGGATTAACTAAATGACTGTTTTTGTTGGCCTGAAACAGATGGGGGAAAAGAAACAACATACCCTGAAAATGTCATTTTCCAAACCTTCAATTATCTTCTCATCCACCGCGTGGAAGCAGAGTAGTCTGATGAGGTTTGGCAATCTAAGAACCTTCTTAAGGACATAGCCCTGAATTTAAGCATACACTTTATGCATACATATTTTACGTGTCCATGAGTTTTGAGTTGGTCTTAATATATACTTACTGGTATGAAAATCTTTTTATACCTTGGTTACGAAAAGGATCAAAATCTGCATTAAAAGTACTAGAATCATCTGAAGAAGCCAAAGGAAGGCTAAGTTTTATTCTTCCCCCATTTAGGAGAAAAATCTGAAAAACAACTTTTTTATCCATCTCTGGTAAAGAATGTGTTCAAAACTGCATATTTTAAACTAAATATTTTAAGATCTTTATTTGCTTTATACAATGGTAAAAATTATATATTACACATTAACATACTATATATCACGATATATAATATATAATAGAACACTGCCTACCAAAAATTGTTTTACCATTGTTAAAAATAAAAAATAAAAATAGAAAACATCTAAATGTGTTTGTCTGTTTTTTTAAGCTGTACATCTTCTCCACAAGAAGAAATTTCTAGCTTTTACTCGTGGAGGGGAGGCAGGCACATTTGAAAAGAATGATTCCATCTAGTAAGTTTTTCTCATAGAAGGAATGTGGGATTGACTGTATCACTCATATTTTCTTTTTTTTCTTCTTTTTTTCCAACATTTCTACCATTTTCCTCTTCTTGGTTGACACCAGGCTATTTCCTTTCGTTGGCTTATTACTGTCATCAGTTATACCACATTTCTTCGTATTAGCTTTGGACTGCCTTTCTTCTTCCTGCACTACATTGCCAGCTTCCTTTTTGATTTTGGACTCTTCTTTACTTACTAAAACACAAGAGACAGTGCATTTATTTATTTATTTATTTAATTTTTAATATTTTATTTACGTTTGAGAGACAGAAACAGAGCACAAGCAAGGGAGGGGCAGAGAAAGAGGGACATAGAACTCGAAGCAAGCTCCAGGCTCTGAGCTGTCAGCACAGAGCCTGACACGGGGCTCGAACTCATGAATCGTGAGATCATGACCTGAACCGAAGTTGGACGCTTAACCAACTGAGCCACCCAGGTGCCCCGAGACAGTGCATTTAAAGACTGCTTTTTCCTTCTTGAAATAAATACAACCTGATGATGAAGTGAAGTTATCTGAATGTCCTCCACCTCAACAATTCAAGAGCTAACAAATTATTAAAAAACAATCACTTTCACTTACCAGGAGAAGGCTCTGCAGCTGGAGGAAGGCTTTCTTTTGTGTCTTTCACTCTGTCTAGCCACACTCCAAGGCATGTCAGCCTGGCATTAGTTTTTACTTCACAGAGTAAAGATGGAGGAACTTTCTAAAACAGAAGAAAGAAGAATTCTTAACATGGGGGAATTTTAAATACTTTTCTTTTTCCATATTTTACATTTTTAAGTAATCTCTACACCCAAAGTGAGGCTCAAACTTACAACCCCAAGACCAAGAGTCGCATTCTCTACTGACTGAGTCAGTCAGGCACCCCTGAGTGAACTTAATTTAAAACTTACTATATTTTCTTGAGAATAAAATAGAAGGATTCCATTATCTTGATCCATGTTTGGTCTGACTATGCCCTTCGCAAGGCACTTTCTGAATATTCAGAAATTGTAAATTCACCAAGGAAAAGGATTGTGTCTCATTCATTTCTAGGTTTTAACAAAGAATCTTGCACAAAGCACACACTCGACAAACCACATTTGTAGAATGGGTTTATAAGAGAACCAAGCAAAACAAGTAAAAACAAGAAAATCTGTTAAGAGTGAGACCACTAAAGGGATTTAATTTTCCACTTATCTGGTTCAAAACTATTCTAAGATTACTGATCAGGAATTTTTGAGTTTTTAGTAATGGCAGTATTTTTTTTTAAATAGGCTCCACACCCAACATGCGGCTTAAACTCACAACCCTGAGATCAAGAGTCACGTGTTTTACTGACCAGCCAGGCACCCCAGTAATGGCAGCATTTTTATCTAACAAAATCTTACAGAGAACACCAATCTACACACAAAAGAGAAGAAAGCAGCATTTCTCTGACTGAAAAAGCACGAGTTCTCGTATCCTGCCAGCTGTGACTCAAAACACCAACCCCCACCGTGGCTCTTGGAACCCTAACTTTAAAACTATGAGTATCAATCATGCGTGGAAGAGATCTCAGGTTTTTTTAAAGATCTCTGCCTTATGACCTTTGGAAAATATTCCACCTCACTTAACTCAAAACAATACCGATAGTAAAGACTTGCATTAAAGCGCATTCACATTGTGCTAAGACACCAACCTTATTCTGCTTAAGCTTCCACATTTTGACGAAACCATCACTTGATGCTGTAACAATAACATGATGCTCTGGAATTTCAAAACTGAACATGTCCTTTATCCTAAAATAGAAATATTAACACCATAAAGGATCCTTTCTTCCAGATAGTACAATACCATTGTAGAGCTTCTACGCACACAATCTCTCAATTTTTCAATGTTTCAAGTGCTTCCAAACTGCTCAAGGAACAGTGCTAAAATAGAACTGTGCTTCACATCCCCATCAGTCAGTGCGCCATTTTCAGGGTCTAAGTTCTAAGATAAAGTGGATTATTAACCATATGTTAAAAAGTTGAAAAGATGATCATGATAACCGTAAGTAATTAGGTTATCACAAATGACATAAAGATACTTAAAGTCCTTCACCTCAAGATACTCCAAGTTCAGTATGAAGAGCCAAGTAAGACAACGGAAACGAACCACGGGCTTCCTCCTACACACCGTTTCTACCCCCCCTCCAATGCCACCACCCTAGTCTAAGCCACTACCCCTGTTCTTCTGGATTCCCAAGGAGCCTAACTGGTCTCTCTGCTTCCATTTTTGCTAACAATTTTTTAAAACTATCAATCAAATCATGTTACTCCCAGGCTTAAAATCCTACAAAACTAGGATCTTTTTTAAAATAACACAGGATAAGGGTGTCTGGGTGGATCTCGCCGTTCGTGGTTTCAAGCCCCATGTCGGGCTCTGAGCTGTCAGCACAGAGCCCGACGCGGGGCTTGAACTCACGGACCGTGAGATCGTGACCTGAGCTGAAGCCGGTGCTCAACCGACTGAGCCACCCAGGTGCCCCCCCAAAAAATTTTTTTTAAATAACACAGGAGAGGAGCAAGGGTATGGGGGTATATATAAAGCATGTCTGGCCATAAACTGACAACTGCTGAAGCTGGGTGGTGGGTCTATGGGGGTTGCTTCCTTAAACTGGTCTATTGGCCTTTACATTTTTCCACAGTAGGAAACAAAAAATCTACAAAGGCCCTTAGCTAAAATCTAAACTCTTCACCAGTCTACAAGGCCAAGTACCATTTGGCTCACTCTGATCTAGTCACAACGTTCTTCCATCTCTTGTTAAAATACATCCAGCTCTTTCCTCCCTCAGGTGATTGCATGCCATCGCTCGTCTCTTCAGAAACGGCTCCCTTTTACCCCTCTCAAGTCCTACCCCCTCCCCCTTTCTGGATCAAACTGTGCAAGTTATGTCTGTTATTCTTAAAGCACACATTTCTATTCCTGTTCTAATTACCTGCTTACTTGTTCATCGTCTGTCTGTTGCTCTACGACTAGAGCCACTAAACGCAACTTCTTGTCTTTTCCATTCATCATTAAATACTAAGTGCAGTTCTTAATGGATGCTCAATGAATACTTGTTAAATGAATAAACAGCCAAATATCCTAAGTGTTAGCTTAAGTGTACTAGTGTTCTTAAGTACCTTTGACATGGCCTTGAATGAACACTTCCTAATGCAGGGGAAAACCAGGGCCTGTACACTGCAGTATGTGAGTATTCCCAAGAGATTTCTTAAAAACTGTTATTTGGAAAGTAAAAACTAGGGCTTACTTAAGACATAAAAGGACAAGGAAATGAAGCACATTAAAGTAGAACAGTGCATTATCACCCTTCCCAAAATTGTAGTAGAAAAAGCAGAGGCAGAGGACTGGGTTTGGATCCCAGCTCCAGCACCCAACAGTGGGGTAACCTTGGCCAAGTCACTTAGCCTTTACTCTGAACGGCAGTGTCTACCCACAGAGATACAGTGAGCAGTGACAGGTAAGAAAGACTGGCATAAAACAGTAGTCATTGCTATCACATACTTCTCCTGCAGGAAAACAAGTAGTGTGCACAGGGAGAAGTGGAAAAGAGGAATAAAATAAAAGGACAAGAGAGATCCTGGCAAAGCTCAAGATCGTTTTTTTTTTTTGTTCCTCTTCAAATATGACTGATTTTAGGCCCCAAGCCTAATATTATTGGAAAAACATCTTGTGCAAATCACTAGTCCTGATGACAGCTTCCCTACTTTTGCACTAAGGCCAAGACATTTCTACCATCCTCTCAGACTCCAGAAATCATATATATGTAGGAATGTACCCTACCTTATGAAACTATTGCATACGTGACACTTACTGGAGACTCTACACTTACATACACACATACACATAGAGACTGGCAAGGAAAAAAAAATACCTGTTATCATGAGCTTTAAATTCACAGAGACACATTAGTGAATCACAGTCAAAAAACCTTACAACTTCTTCATCTCCAGCCACTGCAAGGACAGACTCCTAGAAGAGAGAAAAAGAATACCCGGAATGTCATCAACAATTGCAACCACCATCATATACACTAAGATTCCACCACTGATTTCTCATCACTTACTGAAAGAAACGTAACAGAAGATATTCTCTTTTCATTTGTGATGGTGCCACTAACGGATGCAGTGTCAAGTTGATAGATATCTATTTTATTCAGCATAACAACTACATATTTCTCTCCTCTTGGGGACCATTCCACTATGTGAGCATCTGCAAGTTAAAAAAAAAAAGCTTTTTTTATTTCATAAACAATGATCAGAGTAATAACAAAAATAGCAAATAGCTGTACCATGCATTTCACATCCACTGTCCTATTTACCCTTTGTAAGAAATTTTTGATGCATATTTTGCAAGTTAAGTTTTAGAAAACAAACTGGATTAAAGAATCATCAAAGGTCAGAGAGCTGGTAGGTGACACAGTCACAACAAGAATCCCATTCTAAAATGGGAAAAAAAAGAAAATGGGAAAAGTAACCCAAAGCATTGCTCTAGGAGGTAACCACCATCATGCAGGGGAAACGAAGGTGAGCACGCACGCACACAAGAATGTGTGTGTCTACATTCATATTCCATCAAGTCATAAAAAACATTCCAAATAAAAGTACTCACTTTGCTTTATGTTTTTTATGAATGCTGATCTTCCTTCCACAAGATTCCATGTTCTGCAAAACAGGAAGCTCACGTATGGCATGGTGACTTTTACTAGGTGTAAAGGTAAGCGTAACGAACACTTACTCAAATGACAATTTACTACAGATGCTGCTATTTGGAACTGTCATGTTTCTTACAACAACACTGGAAATATTTACCATTAAGCAAGATTAATGCATCCATTCCCACACCCCTTTCACCTACTTAAAACGTTTAATATATTTTCAAAAGGTTTCACCTCTTAAAACATTGCTTTTTAGGACCATCCTCTTTGCTTCCCAACTCCGAATGAATGTGTATGTCTGAACAGAGTCTGTCCTTTTTTTTCTCTACCGTCATGAAAAGGTTCACTGGCTTTCAGCTTTTCCTTGTACTGCAGTATCTCTAAGTAGCTGACAGCCAGGACACAAGACAGAAGTGTATCTAATTATTGTAGTAAAAAATACCCTGATGGGTAGGTTCCTGCTGTTGTACTTGGAGAACAAAGACCACAACTGAGAAAAGATGCTCTTGGCATTTATGACTTACCTCAATGTCTTATCCGTACCCACAGACAGGGCCAACTTGCCAGATGGGTGAATAGAAAGGAAGGTCACGTGTCCTCTACAAGGAAACCAACAGTTAGCCCCCAACTTGACTGGTACCTGGAGACCACCAATGGGAAAGGGCTAGACTCACTTGTGAGCTTTAATGGACTTCAGGCACTCCCATTTCTTTGCATCCCAGACACAAATGACTCCATCTTCTGCCCCACTGATTAAGTGCCTGTTGCCATAGAATTTCAGGCAAGTTATCGTGCCTGTGGAAAAACCGAAATAGACCAACTTAATGTTCACTTTGAATGCGAGCTCCATTTCTGGTTTGAAGGCTATGCTGTGGTAGGTAAAAATCTAACGTCAGCATTAGTGAAATAAACCTTAAAGTCTTAGGTGAAGAAATTAATTTTTTCATCTCAGAACATACAATTTCAAGGCTGTGCAAATACTTTCAACAGAATTTCTCTAGTTGTAGATACAGACTAGAGCTAATCAGTTCATTTACTTGCTCTATGGGTCCAGAATCATAAATTTAGGAGATGGCTGGCTAGGATTATTTGAGCAGAAGTCAAACAAAACCAACTAATAAACCAGCTAATTTGGGGAACAAACCAAGATATACAACCATATGACTTCTTCCTTTCCTTTCCCTTTTCTTTGTTTTGGTTTTTGTTTTTGCTTTGTGTGGGTTTTTTGTTTTTTTTTTAAGAGAGAGGGGGAGAGAGAGAGAGGGAGGGAGGGAGGGAGGGAGGGAGAGAGAGGGAGAGGGGGAGGGAGGGAGAGAGGGAGAGGGAGAGGGAGACGGAGAGGGAGAGGGAGAGGGAGAGGGAGAGAGAGAACACAAGTGGGAGAGAGGAGCATCAAGCAGGCTCCACACTTAATGCAGCTGAATCCCAGGACCTGGGATCTTGACCTGAGCCAAAATCAAGAGTTGGAGGCCACCCAGGCACCCTGGCTCCCTCCCATTCTTTCTTTATTGAAAGAGAAGAGGGGAATGATTATTACTTTCTAATCAGTTAGTTAGCTACCCAATCATCCACAATCCAATTATTATCACTCCAGAGCTGTTTTCTGTTTGATTTCTACAGTTTTCATTCACTGTCCTAAGAATTTATTACAGGGGCGCCTGGCTGGCTCAGTTGGTAGAACAGATGACTCTTGATCTCGGGGTTGTAAGTTTGAGCCCCCCCAATGGGTTTAGAGATTACTTAAAAATAAAATCTTTAAAAAAATAACTAAAAATTTTTTTAAATCTTAAAACACAAAGAATTTATTAAAACAATTTTATAAACTGTTCTACTGTTCGACTATGCCTTCTGTAATCTCCTTTGCATGGTTCACAAATTTTCCTACAGCTTTTCAACTTCTTCACAAACAACTCCACTCCCCTCTGCCCAAAAATTAAAATCTGAATCTCCCATGAATTTCTTCTACAGCTCTTGAGATAGAGACAAACATGTTCTATGCCCTCAAATATTAACCTCGCTGGAAGGAGGTTAAGGTGATAGAGGAACCCAGCATTCTTCTGACCCCCAAAAGCAGTCCCTGTATATGGACAACGTATGATACCCTGACCCTCAAATAAAACTCCCTATCCTTTAAAGCTTGTGTCCATCAGCTTACTCTTCCTATAGCTCAGTGGTCAACAAACTACTGTTTCTAAGTTAAATCTGACTGGTGGCCTGTTTCGATAAATGCAGTTTTCCAGAACACAGACTTGCTTGTTCAGTTCCCAAATGTCTATGGCTGTTTTCTGCACGGCAACAGCAGAGCTGAGCAATCAAAACAGAGACCATATGGCCGCAGAGCCTAAATATTTACTATCTTGTCCTTTTCAAATAAGAATATGAACCCTTGGGTCACTGTTGTTCACCTGCCACCTCCTGGTGAGTCCTTTACTTTGTCCTTTATATGGAAAGATTAAAAGATCTCTGATGAATATAATTTTGCACACCGCCCAGCCCCATCCCCAAATATATGGGGTAACATACAACTTTATCAAAGTGGGAGTCTTTAGCCACCTTTGCCCGTTTTCTTTTCTATCAACTTATTTCCTACCTTGGTAAAGATCTTACCTATTACCAACTGTTAGATAAACAGGAGTTATACAAAGAATGAAGGAAGTTAGGAACCATACTTCACCCCCATCCAAACTCCTTCTAAGTAAGTCCCATCCTTATTGTGCAACACCTGTACCAATGGCTTTAGGCAGACCAGATTGATTTAAATTATTTCTTCCACACCTAAGGGAGAGAGGACTTTCTTGTAGGAACTGGGAATAGGAGGCAGAATGGAAAAAGAACATATGTTGAACTCACTCAAAGTCTAGCTTCTCTTGAAAAGCAAAAACTTGTCAAAGTAGCTAAGGACCATCTGAGAAAGACACTGAACACTCTAAATTACTGCTAGAAACCAGTGCGTAGCTGTCTTATCTCCCTTTAATAGCAGGAAATCAACAACCTGAGCAGAGCTTTCCCAAACTAAGCACACATCTGATTCTACTATTTTGAGTTCTTCCTTTCCATTTCCCTTCTCCTGGAACGCATGTTAAACCTCATTCTTTGTGCCTTGGGAAAATACAATAAAAACAGAATAATGTTCAACACTGGAAAAACACACACCTATTCAGTCTTCCTATTCCTAAATCCTACCACTATCCTGGACAACTTCACCATCAGTGTGGAAAACCCAAGCATGACTGGAGAATCACCAGGCCCTGACCTCCACTCCAGTGACCTTTGCTTCCTCTCTAGTTCAGTCCCTCGCACCTACACCCATGACATGTTACCACCTAGAGCTGCTCCACATTACAACTCTTGAAGAATCTCTTCCCTGCCTGCAACCTCACCTTTCACCAGCCCCTTCTTGCCCCCTTCATTCACTCCACCTGCTTTTTTATTTCAGAGATCTGCAGGCCCTTAACACCCCATTTTCTCTAGACTGACAACTGAAACCATCTTTCATCAAAATCCTTTGTAAATCAATCCTTCTGTTGCATGGGCACCGGGTAACTTTCTGCTCCCCACAAAAATGCCTGGAGCTTAGTGCAAACGGATGTTATTCGGGCCACAGCCTCCAACTTCAATCAGGCAGACTCTCACTAGTCCTTCTGCTTGTCCTTGGTCAGCATCTCTCTTGTATGCCAGGTGCCAGCACTTTCCTCAAGCCCACACCGCCCCTCCCTACCATTCAATCCCTAACCTCTTCTTCTCAAGGACCATCCAGGACGTGGCCTGTCTAATTCCCAATCACCTTAACCTCCGTTCTAACCTTCTCGTAATACTGACTTGCTTACAGGTCCCCATGCACCCAGTGGTTAACGACATGGGCTCCAGACCTAGGTCTGAGTTCCAGTTCCACTGTTTTGTGACTATGGGCAACTCACAAAACATCCTGAGTCTTGGTTTTCTCTTCTAGGAAGCCGAAGATGCAACTGTACCTTACTGGCAAACTGCTGGGTACGTGGTACTCCCTCAACGAAGTCAGCCATCAGCATGAGGCTGCTACTGTGCTCCGTGCACTTCCTGCTCTGCCTGGGATGCCCTCTCTCCCACCTTGAAAACTTCACCTGGCTAACAACTGGCACTTCTCTTCTAAGATAATTCAGTCAGATGACATTTTAGGGAACTTTCTGCTTCCTCCCACTCCCCCCAGATGCAGTTAAGTGTCCCCTTTCTGTCTCTCAATATGGACCGTGAAGAACTTAAAAACAAAAGACATGTTTTTTTTCATTTCTGTATTTCCTAGCACAGAATCTACCATGTAATAGGCACTTGATGAATTGTTCAACTCAAGTCAAATTGTCAAGTAATGACGCCTCACCATTGTCTTAAAGGATATAATTTTCTTACCGTTGTGATGCACTAGAGCCCCATGGTCTACCTTCTTTTTCATGTCATATATGTGAATTGTTTCATCTTTGCTCCCAGTGACTACAAAACGGCTATTTACAGCCACTGCTGACAAGGAGGCAGTGTGGGCATGGTGAGTGAAGTCAGCCACAGAAGTCCATTTTTGCTGAAGAGTAAAACACGCAATCAGTGTCACAATCACATCACAGTTCTCCAGAAACACATAAGTGGTTCCACAATCCATGAAAACTACCAGTGGATACTTACAAATTGAGAAAAAAACTATTCAAGGATAGCAGACTAAGAAAAACAAAGACCCTGAGAATTAAAAAAGGCAGGCAGCAAGGAGACAGGAAGGCAATCAAGACTCCAAAACAATTATGGAGACCAGATTACTTTAAGGTCCTATTCCAATCCTTAACTCCTTCATATATGTACTTATAGGTGAAACTTCACTATTCATTCATTCAAATGTTCAGATTTGATTTGAATTTATTCGTTCAAATACTAAATGACTACTATGTGCTTGGCATCATTTTGGACAGTTGATATGTAACAGTGAAGAAAAGAAAGCCGTAATTCTAATGTAACTGCCATCCCTGTGGGAGAGACAAACTGTAAATAAATATGGTATCACATAGAGAGGAGTATAAATGACAAGTCTTATGAAGAAAAATAAACGGGATAAACACTGTGTCTCCATTAGTACTAAAATAAGCCCTAGAGAATGACCAATGATGAGATCTCAAGAACTCTATGCTTATTGATATGCAACTTTTGGACCAAATAAGTGAAACTGGTTGAGTGCAAGGAATAAGAGAGCTGAATACATACACACACCTCAAACTGACGGAGACGCATCAAGAAGTATTAGCAAATTGGGGCACCTGGGTGGCTCAGTCAGTTAAGTATCCGACTTCGGCTCAGGTCATGATCTCACGGTTCGTGGGTTCGAGTCCCACATCGGGCTTTGTGTTGACAGCTCAGAGCCTGGAGCCTGCTTCGGATTCTTGTCTCCCTCTCTCTCTGCCCCTCCCCCACTTGCACTCTGTCTCTCTCAAAAATAAACATTAAAAGTTTTTTTTAAAAAAGGAGTATTAGCAAATCAAACAAACCAGGGAAGAAGAAGAATCCATCAGATTTCTTTGAACACACTTAAGATGTGTCATTGCAAATTAATTTCTAAATAACTACAGCAAACTGTATAAATAACTAAATAAATTTATTCTAAATAAATATCAGACAGTCCTTCCATCAATCAGGACCAAGGGAGCCTCTTTTGAGTAAAGGCACAATATTCCTGAGGGGCTGCTATGACCATAAATCAAAGACAATCTTTGCTTGTGACTTTACAGAAAGAATGTTGATTATCTGAGCTCTGGTCTGTCTCGGTTTAGAAGCAGCAGCAGATAGTATAAGAGCTTCATGTTTCAGAGACACCTAGGGACTTGAGTCCCAGGTCTCCCAATATTAGTTGTGTGGCACTGCACAGGTCACTTAACCTATCTCAACTTCAGGCTCCTTATCTGTAACATGGGGATAACTGTATTTGCCTCAGGAGGCTGCTGGGAAGACCACTACGTGTCTGGAACAATGTGGTGACTTTATTACAAAGAGAACACAATAGCATCATCTTTAAGATTCAAGAGATGGCACCTTCCAGCCAAAAAGATTAATAAGCAGGAGGAGGCAAACAAAGTAATTATTCAAGTTATATCCCTCCAGTTTTCTGGTTAATTCAAGACTGACACCTTGACTTTTTCACAAAGAAGTACTGAAAAGAATGGGTTTCTAGGAGATACTTAGGTTTGCTTAGGGAAAAATACTACTGGATTAAAAGTTAAGAGATCTTATTTCTAATCCTGGGTATGTCCTATCTGTTTGACTAACGGCAACTTACTTAACCTTTCTGCTCACACATCCAGTAAAAATACTTCTATTTTGTTGTAATTTGCCTCCACGCATTTGTCTCCTTTGCCCTTATGTCGGCAAGCTCTCTAGCGCTGTACCCATTCCTTTGGCTTCTTTGCACCTCCACTACCAATTAACGGCTCCGTGGTAAGGGTTCAAAAACACTGAATGAACTGGAGACACTATCAACGAGAGGTTTAACCCGACCCAGCTCTAACATTTTGTCAAATGCAAGGACAAAAACTCAGTAAAAGCGAACTGTTCTTTCTTTAAATCCTGAACGCGTACACCGGCTGTCAACGGACTCATTTGCCAGCTTCCTTCCTGCACCGTGACCAGAATGTCTACTAAACCCAACAAACATGATCTCGTTTTACGAAAATGCCTACTCCAGGTTTTAAAAAACTAAATTATACGTTTGAGTTTGATTCATCAATTAATCCCTAAGGGATCAGTGTGTTTACCTGTGATGATGTGCTTACCACGGCCGTGCGGGAACCCGACCAGACCTTCCCGCGCCCCTCCTCCCGCGGTCCCTCCCGGCGCGCACTCTTACCTCGTGGTCGCCGCCTGCAGCTGGCTCGGGGCGTACTGCGAACCCAAAAAGGACCTGTTCGTAACAACCAGCGACCAGCTCCATTCAGCAGCACACGTGCCTCTTCAACCAGCGCCGCTCAGCTGAGACAGTGACGAAAGCGGATGCCAGAGCAAGTGGGGTCCTTCCTGCGTCGGCGCTCAAATTACGTCATGGGCGCAGGGCTGCCTTTAGGGCGCCTGCCTCCGTGGAAGCGGTTTCAGCGCTCGAAGATCACGCGGAACTTCCAAAAGGAAAAAAAGAAAGGATGTCACACGAGGAAGTTCTCACGGCGAGGATAAAAATGTTGGGGGCAAGCAGGCATATTCTAGGTGCCTGTGAGGTAGGCAGGTCTAAAGGGGAATGGGGCGGGACATCCTCTGCGGAAGCCCCTCATTTCCGTGACGTCACGAACGGGGCGGGACCTCTTCCGGTCTGGGCGGGGCCCCTGGCGGTGTCGCGTGCTGAGTGCCGAGCCCGCTGTGCTGTGGGCTGTCAGACGGTGGACAGGAATTGGGTTTCCTTTTTGCGCAGGCAGCATAAGCAAGCGTTTGTCTCTCACGTTCTCTCGTGACAGGGCAGAGAGGGGTCGGCATTCATGGTTAGCGGCTTCTAAAGCAGGCCGCACACCTTTCCTACTAGCTTGATTGGTTTGTCTGACTTCGGGGTCACATTGGCCAACGTCGCCGCACATCCCGGGGAGGGAGGAGGACGCTTTACCTGAAGTGATAACACGGGCTGCTTGAGGACGAAGTCCGCAGTCATCGTAGGTGAATGTACCAAAAGGAGATCTCCCATTTCACTTTGACCACCCCCCGCCCCACAGTTTAGGGACCACATGAAACATGCATGAAAGCCAAGATCGCCTTAATTAGCATTTGCAATTCTCATAACGTGTGGAGATTCAGAGGTCTGTTGAAATGACAGCTTTGCACAAATTGGAGTAAATCCTGAAGCGTCATAATTAGTCTCATAAAGGCGACAGCAGGTGGATTTGACAAGCAGGAATTCGGATGGCATCCTCGGCGTCAGTTCTTCAACTCCCGCTTTAGTGCTGACCCTACAGGATCCTACAGGATCAGCACTTTGACCCTTTTGTTTTCAAGACTATGTGTTTCTCTGGTATTCTGAACTGTCGCTACGTGTCTAACTCGTGTTTGTTTTAATTTCCGCTGGTTTGGGTCTTGTAGAAATGATGACTCTTTGAATGCTTTGGGTGTCATTGCAACTCAGGGAAGGCTTTGTCTTCTGTAGGCTTTAGCGACTCCACGTGTAAGCGCTCCCCAGGCACTGAAAATGCTGTCGTCAAACTAACCCTCTGTCTCGGAAACACGTGTAGTCATTCACTGTTTTAAACTAATTCCTTCGCTTCGTGCTGGTTATCTTCATTATGTTAAAAAAAAAAAAAAAGCCAAGTTATCTTACTATTTAAGTTATTTTCCTATTTACCATCTCCTTCCTGTGTCCACCAGAGACCTACCAAAGTGAGGGGGGTGTGAATAGGTGCAGTGGATGTTGGCTGGGCATGGGACAAAGAATGAGTGAATAGGACATTTCTTTGAAGTCTCATGTTTTATCTTGAAAACTGTTAGAAATCGTCGGAACCAATTCTCGAGCTCGGAAGACCTTAGAGAAGCATTTATCCAGGTGATCCCGCTCTAGGGCAGTTTATGGATAAGTTCTGAGGGCTCTCCAGCCCTTGAAATTAGATGCACAATTGTTTATGTACATTTTTGAAGGAGAGCACTGATAAAATTTCATTACATTTTCAAAAGGATTAGTGCCTCTAAAGTTAAAATGCACTAATCCTGGGGCGCCTTGGTGGCTCAGTCAGTTGAGCGGTTGAGCTTCCAACCGGCTCAGGTCATGATCTCGTAGTCTGTGGGTTCGAGCCCCGCGTCGGGCCCTGTGCTAACAGCTCGGAGCCTGGAGCCTGCTTTGGATCCTGTGTCTCGCTCTCTCTCTGCCCCTCCCCTGCTCACACTCTGTCTCTCTCTCTCTCTCTCTGTCAAAAGTAAACATTAAAAAAAATTGTTTTAATGCACTAATCCAGTCTGAGGTTATAAATGTGAAATAGGTCTAGAAAGGTAACTCAAAACCACCCAGCTAAGGGACAGTAGACCTATAATGCTGCTACTTTTTACATTTCCTTGGGCTCAAACTTTCTCTTTAACAAGAAAAATAAGGCAGTTTTTCACTGTCTAAAGAAAAACAATACAAAATTACATACTTGTTCAACTAGATTCGAACTGAGCATACTTCCTGCAAACCTGGTCTCTTTCCAAACACAGGATGCAAAAAACCATTTAATCCTCTTCTTGTGAAAACTGCAGTTGCCAAGAAACAATCAACTGTTAAGAGTTCATTAACACTAGAGCACAACAGGATTTTTTTTTTTTTAGTTTTGCTTTTAAATTATTGATCAAAAAGCTTTTTACACTTGAGCTGTGTGTTGATTTATTCATTCATTCAACAAATATTTATGGAGTGCCTGGCTTTGTTTGGTTTGCTGAAGAAAAAACAGTTTTTTTGGTGGGGGGAGGTGGGTAGTAAGGTGGACATGCTGTGCTAAAAAGCAGGATACAGCAGAGAAAAATCAGCCATGTTAGAAATATGAGAGTCTCATATTTCTGCTCAATTACCCCTCCCCGGCCCCCCACTTTCTCACTGTGGCAGGCAGCAAGTCTTAACTTTTAGGACTACAGAGGTACATGTGCATATTCCCAGAGGACTTTTTCTCTCCTTTGCACGTAGAAGCTGAGAGTGGGCTACTTCCCCCTGGACACTGGCCAATTGTCTGTCCTGGTATAAATTTGCTTCACCTGCTTCACGGGAATAAGACAGGTGAAATATGAGGAGTTGGCCTTTGGGGCTTTTTTTTTTTTTTTAAAGGAATGACATTTATTTATTTTTATTTTTTTGGGACAAGAGACAGAACGGAGGCATGAACAGGGAGAGAGAGAGGAGACACAGAATGGAACAGGCTCCAGGCTCTGAGCCATCAGCCCAGAGCCTGACGCGGCTCGAACTCACGGACCGCGAGATCGTGACCTGGCTGAAGTCGGACGCTTAACCGACTGCGCCACCCAGGCGCCCCAGCCTTTGGGGCTTTTAAAGAGCGAAACAGCATTTGTGAACCCTTCCTTGTCGCTGTCATCAACAAAGCCCCTGAGTGTCCATCTTCTCTGGAGCTTTGCTCCTGGTCCTCTGTCCCCAGCTCCTGCCACGCTGCTGGGGGATTCAGACACGCGTCATTAACTTCTCCCTTCCCCAGCCTCTGCAACCACCTTATTATAAACGTCTAACTTCTGCTTTCTTTTCCAGCGATGGCTTTATCGCTCACCCATTTATAGCCAACATTCTGATTTTCCTTTTACAAAATCCAGCTCTAAAGAGAAGGAACAAAACACTGATGAAAGTTTTACAAAAAGAATCCTCAACAGATAGGTTTTATTTGAAGGCTAAGCTGCTCTAACAGTTAGGAATTGTGTCTAACTTCATACAGTAACCTAAATCAGCCGTGGCTTAAACAAGACATTTATCTCGTAAGTAAAAGGAATCTGGAGGGAGGCAATCTAGTGCTGGTACAAGAAGTCCTCAGTCATCAGGCACCCAGACACATTCTCTCTTTCAGATCCTATATTCCGGTGTATGGCTTCCCCTTTTATGTCACCTCATAGGCCATAATAGGTGCAGCGTTTGGGTTCCAGCCATCATATCTCTAATCCTAGCACTAGGTCCGGAGAAAGGGTGGAGTACCACACGCCTCCTTCCAGTTAAGCAAACACCCTTGGCCCACACAGCTGTCCTCAATCCTCTTATAATAGTTCTATTTACATCTTATTAGCCAGACTTTGGCCGCTCGGCCACATCTACCTGCGCTTGGGGAACTAGGAAATGTCTTTCAGTGAAGCCTATCTCTGCCCCCCCCCAAAAAATCAGGGTGCTGTTATTTTCCCCCCTAAATTTTTATTTAACGTTCATTCATTTTTGAGAGACAGGGAGACACAGAATCCGAAGCAGGCTCTAGGCTGTGAGCGGTCAGCACAGAGCTTGATGCGGGGCTCGAACCCACGAACCATGAGATCATGACCTGAGCCGAAGTCGGACGCTTAACTGACTGAGCCCCCCAGGTGCCCCTGAGATTTGTTATTAAGGAAGAAAAGGAAACTGAATAGTGGCTGGCACCCAGCAAGTTGAGGCAGAGCTGCTAATCACTCTCCCAGGAAGCATGGGGACATCTGGAGTGTAGGCCCCACTCTGTCACCCTGCTTTGCACAAGTAGCTGTTCAGTAAATAATGGGTGAATAACTGAATGATTTGAATTCATGATTATTATTTTTTACAACACCGGCAAATATAGACTACATCAAGCACTTATTAACAAGCTGCAGGGAAATGGCCAGACCCGAAGTGCCCCTATTTGGACTCAAAAGTTACCTTCTCACATTTGGACACTGTGTAGGCTGGCTACTTAGGCAGAATCTGAGTGAGGCTCTAATGCAAACCTATGGAATCAGAACCTACGTTTTAAACAGCGTGCTGAGGTGATTCATATGCACGTTGAAATTTGGGAAGGCATGCTGTATTTGGTGTTTTTAAATAATTTTGAGCCACAGTATTATTTCTTTAAAATGTTTTCCTGTACCCACATTAAGAGGGTAGGTTAGTGTGTGTGTGTGTGTGTGTGTGTGCGTGCGTGCGTGCGTGCGCGCGCGCGCGCGCTCACGTGTTCCTTCTAGGACTTCTTTCCACCGGTTGGTCGGGGTTATGATTTCAACCTGCAGCAGCTATTTAAAAAAAAAAAAGTCCACTAATTGCTGCTTCCAATAGTTAGCAGATAAGTGAACTGAGGAGGGAAACATCAACGTGTGGTACTTCTTTTACGGTTTTCGTTGTTACAAATGACTCAATAATTGTAGAGGGTGGGATGGAGACTTCAGTGGGTTTCACAGTTGCTCAACACGCACTCCTCTGTGCCCCCGCTGGCTTTCGGCTGCCTTCCCCTGGGCCTGGAGCTGGGAGAGGCCGCTGGCAAGCTTAGAGCCAGCTGCTAGCGTGCAGAAGGTCCCCCCAGGTGACCCCTATAGACTCCTACCCCACCCATGCCTTAACCCCATTGTAACAAAAGTCAAGCAATTCATCACCCAGCAGGAACTGCTCCTATGTTAATTGCTCTCTCTGGCAGTCGGAAAAGAGATTTGCTGGGTGAGAGGCTTTAGCCCCCAGAGCTGGAGTTATTGCCTCCCGAATAAAAACTGTGGATACCTGGTCTCTTTTTGCGAAGTTTCTGGATAAATGGCTGGGCAGGAGAGTTTTGCAGGCTGTGGCATAGCTCAACCAAGTACTTATTACTGGCACTGGCAAAGGTGAGCTGGTCTGTCCTACTCCTAGTGAAAATGAAGGGTGTCCATGCTCTGTTTCTTCCGTGCTTTTTGGCAATTTCCAAACCATCGCTTTGGAAATTGGTGTCCTTAAACAGTTAACGCAGAAATCATCTTTACCTGAGCCTCCTGGGAAAGAAGAGTTTTGAGTGATTCTGCCTTGCTTGGTGATGTCATTCTTGTCTCCCCTCTGCTCATTAGGGGGAAGCCCGTGTTCCAACCCTGCCTGGGTTACCAATTGGGCAGCTGGTTTGAGCAGCAGCACAGCGGTTACTCCCTCTCTGGCTATGACTACGGCTGTGCAGCAGAGAGAGATGGACACAACCTTTCTGTGAGTGAGACCTCCGGACGCCCAGCTGCAAGTCTGGTCACACCTAAGGTACCCCTCCCTGAAATGAATCCTGTGTCATCCGTGAGCCCAGCATAGAGGTATCTTTTTCCTACCTTCACACCTCCGGATGCTCTCATTCAAGTTCCCACAGCCATGGCTTTTGCTCCCCATTTTAATGCCAGAGAGGAAAAGCAGATGATTTGCCCACAATTTAAGTCATCACTGTCTTCCAAAAAGAAAATTATAGGCTGATGAAGTCCGTGCTTAAATTCTTACTGCTAAATTTTAGATTACCACTCATTTGATTTTACTCTTTTTAGAAAAAAAATGTTTATTTTTGAGAGAAAGAGAAGAGAAACAGAGTGTGAGTTGGGGGAGGGGCAGAGAGAGAGGGAGACAGAATCCGAAGCAGGCTCCAGGCTCTGAGCTGTCGGCACAGAGCCGGACGTGTGGCTCGAACTCATGAACTGTGAGACCATGAGCTGAGCCAAAGTCAGAGGCTTAACCCACCGAGCCACCCAGGTGCCCCTTGATTTTACTCTTAAACACTTAAAATAGGACTAGAGGTAGTTTTTTGTTTTGTAATAGCAGAAAACATGAACATCCTTTTAAGAGCTGTTCCAGGGGCATCTGTGTGGCTCAGTCGGTTAAACGCCTGACTTCGGTTCAGGTCATGGTCTCACAGCTCGCGAATTAGGGGCTCTGTGCTGACAGCTCCGTGCCTGGGGCCTGCTTCAGATTCTCTCTCTCTCTCTCTCTCTCTCTCTCTCTCTCTTTCTGCCCTTTCCCCACTCATACTCTGCCTCTCTCTCTCTCAAGATTAAATAAGCATTTTAAAAAAATTAAAAAGAACTGTTCTAATGTTTTGGTTACTAATGCGAGCTATTTCTGAAATTGCACAGATTTCTGTGTTAGAATAAGAGAAAGCTTCCCCCGTCCTTGTCCCTTTCCTCTTCCCCATTTCCTCCCCAGTTAGAAGAAACCCCTGTTCAAGGACACCCATGTCCTCTAGATTTTTCCCTTCTACTCTTGCTAAATCAGGGTGATTGGGCTTTATTTCTGTTTGCGGAGAATTGAACAAGAATGAACTTGTGTAGTACATACTGGTTTGCTTCTGCTGGCACGTGGCATTAGCAGATGTTCCCCTTTAATTTTTTTTTTGAATGTTTATTTTTGAGAGAGAAAGAGCGCGCACGCACAAGTGCACAAATGCGCGCAAGCAGGGGAGGAACAAAGAGAGAGGGACAGAGGCGCACTGACAGCACAGAGCCCGGTGAGGGTCTCGAACTCAAGAACCATGAGATTGTGACATGAGTGGAAGTCAAGACTCAGACATTTAACCAACTGAGCCTCCCAGCCTCCCCGAGATGTCCCCCCTTTGAAAGAGCTTTCTTTAGGGGCGCCTGGGTGGCGCAGTCGGTTAAGCGTCCGACTTCAGCCAGGTCACGATCTCGCGGTCAGTGAGTTCGAGCCCCGCGTCGGGCTCTGGGCTGATGGCTCAGAGCCTGGAGCCTGTTTCCGATTCTGTGTCTCCCTCTCTCTCTGCCCCTCCCCCGTTCATGCTCTGTCTCTCTCTGTCCCAAAAATAAAAAAATAAACGTTGAAAAAAAAAAAAAAGAAAGAAAGAGCTTTCTTTAAAAGTTGCCCATTTGGACGAGCTGTGATATTAGCTCATCCCTTGGGGGCTAACATTTTAAATGTTCTTAGCACTTCAACAAACGTTTACGGATCTCCAAGCATTTGTCAGAGTGTTCTTTGCCTAAGGATAGATTGCCGGAAGTAGAAGGTCGGGATTGAAGGATGTAACATTGAAAATTTCAGATCGCGAATTACTCACCAAAAAGCCTGCCTACGTTTACACTTCTCATTGCTGTTGTGAGTGTGCTTGCCTCTCCGTGTGCAATTTACCAACGTGACAGGTGTGGAAGGCGTTTGCCTTCCATTGAGGGCAAATACCTTTTAAGCTGTTGCCTGATGATACCTGCGTTCTGTGACCTCATCAATGTTCTTTGTCTACCTCTCTTTCTGTTAGTTATACCCCCTTTTATCTGACTGTGCAGATGCTTGCCTATTATGGAAATTAGCACTGAGCAGTCAAAGTGTTAGTGTTCTCTCCAGTTTGCTTCCTAGTGTTCCTCATGGGGTGGCCTGTACCTTAAACCCAGAGTTGGATTTAATATTTCAACACTCAGTTTTTAGAACTTACATTTGCTTGGTATCTTCTTTTTTTTTTTTTTTTTCCCAAACTTTCATTTTCAATTTTTCAAGTCTGTTTTAGGCGTGCCTTCTTCCATATAAAATATCTTGTTATATTTCTTGTTTTTTTTTTTTCTTTTTAAACCCAGATCGGGTTTTACCCTGTTAGCAGATGTTTGATGTTGCATCACTTAAAAAAGAAAATTTTGCTATATTACCTGAGGTTTTAGCACATTTTTTTCTTCTACCCCTTCTCTTTTTCACTAGTTTGGGAGATAGTCTCTGTGTCTTCCTGTGGTTACCCTTATCTTTAAATAGAGAAGTATAGGTTCGACTGCATTACCAACTTCAAAAATGAAAGTATTTCTAGATTTCTGCCCACTCATGAGAAAACAAAATTAACACCAAAGAAAGAAAAGATAGGAAGAAACAACACCACCAAAGGAACAAAGAAACGTAAATAAATAAAAACATTTTTAATGTTTATTTATGTGTTTTGAGAGACAGAAATCAGGCAAGCGGAAGAGGGGCAGAGAGAGAGGGACAGAGAGAATCCCAGGCAGGCGCTGTGCTGATAACACAGAGCTCGACTCGGGGCTCAAATCCCCGAACCCGGAGATCATGACGCAAGCTGAAGTCAAGAGTCGGATGCTTAACCCACTGAGCCACCCGGGTGCCCCATAAATAAATAAAAATTTTAAAAGAAATTAACCATTTTTGTCTCCTTGTCCCCTGACCCTTTCTTCTCGTTTTTGTTGACACCTGCTGGGATTTTCATCCCACTCTCCTGTGAAATTATTACCGTAACATGCAGTTTCTTTCTCTTTCTTTCTTTCTTTCTTTCTTTCCTTTCTTCCCTCCTTCCTTTCTTAACACGCAGTGTCAAGAATTAGAAATCTATCCACTATCCGTGGCTGTGGTTAGCCCACTTGTGCCACCTGCCTGCTTTCCTGGCGGGAGTCCCCAGTCATGAAGCTGTTCAGCAGTATTCACAACGGTGAGGCTTTGCCGTGGGCCTCTGTCACTCCCGAGTGCCCTCGCTTTATTCTTGCCTCAGAAAGGATGACCTCTGCCAGATGTCCCAGCTCTATTGTCCATTTCCCCCTCTGGGGCACGCTGGTGTTCTTAACGCTTGTGTCTCCAGGGTAAGAGGTTAGCCTCCCAAGAGCCCTGCGCGTTTTGACATTGTGTCTTTAGATCAGAGGGAGTGGATGTGTTCAAAATGATTCTCAGGTCTTTGGGCTCCTTCAGCGCAATGGTCCCACACTCCCACCAGCAGAGTTAGCACTCTGCTAGCAGAACACTAGCAAAACCACTAGCGAAATTTAGTAGATGTGCCCTTCTTCAAGAACAGCAGGTACTGCCCAGGTGACCTTCACACCAGAGAGAATGCTCTGTCTCCATAGAGCACCTGCTCCCTGCATCCCGGTCAGGTGAGATCCACAGTTACCTGAGCACACGTTGCAAAGGAGGAAATGCGAGGTTACTCGGGCATTGTGTTACGAGAAAGGCCTCCTTTAAGCCCAGATTCTGGCTGTCTTAGCTGTTTCTAAATAGGAAAAAATACACCAATGGTGAGATTGAACTTATGGTAACTACATAATTTATTTTCCAAACCAGGACCTATTTCAGAGTGAAAGGGAGGGATGCTTTCTGACAGATTGAAAAGAAGAGACAGCGGCTCTTTGGTTTTCAGTATAAACTTGTTCTTCTTAGCAAGGGAGGCTTCATGAAGTTCATTGGGTCCCAGGAGCTACCTGGGCTATTCCTGGATGGCTTGGTTCCTCGGAACAGCTGTACATCTTTAACAGAAACACTTCTCAACAGGTGCCTATGGAGAGGAGTCATAGAAACTTACCCTGTCCCAGGAGAGCCAATAGGGTCTGGGTTAACCAAACAAGATTTATTTGGGGAGTGCTTCTCGAATTTACTTCTCTCATTGACTGGTTAGCTCTTCTGTAGTCTCTGTTATCTGCTTAAGCACCTATTGTCCCGGTCCTTAGCTGAGCTGTGGGGTCCAGGTGTGATTAGAAGGCTCTAGAGAGAATATGCTCGTGAAGATTTTACAAGTCGTCATCTGGAAATAGGGGCAGAGGTCCAGACAGAGTTGGGCATTTAGTGCAGGGACCGCGGAGTCTGGATGCCAGGGTCCCTGGTGTCTAGTTCCTAGCCCAGGGCCTAGGATGCCATTTAGTTCCAGAAGCTTCAGGGAGGCCAGAGGCCTTGGTTAGGCATGCTCCTCCTTTGTGACTTTTCATCTGTTGACTCAGATTACCTATTTCATAACTGTGGTCATTATTAAAGATTCTTCAAATCAAAATTCAAAACAAATTTGATCTAAAGGGAGTTCAGTGTCTTAGATATTATTTTTGACAGTGAGTGTTTTCTTTAAAAGCGTGTGTTGATAGTAAATCTTTATTTTTTTTCTTAACATACTGATTTCCTTGTAGGAAAGCACGGCTCTGGCAGAAAAGCAAGATGAAAACGCACTGGAAGGTAACGTAAACCCTGTGTTGCCATGGTTGAAAACAAAACGAATCCATTCCCAAGGTTACTCATTACTCAACTGGCTCGAAACTGAGAGATTCTACTGGAAAATTCCTACGTAGGTTGCGTAAGCCATTTTCTTCAGCAGTTCATCTGGTTTTTGGAAATTGTTTCTGTGGGCAGCTTGAGCTAAGCCACCTGTTTGGGTCTTTCTGAAGGACTAGGAAATGGGGATATTTCCAAACAATAAAAAGACAATAAATTGTTTTTAAGATCAGTTTCCTCCATAAATTTAAACTTTGGGATTAGTAATGCTTTAATTTTGATTTTTAAGGGGAGAAGTAGGAGGTGATCACTGTGACTTTGGCTTCCTAACTTCCCTCAGGGTTATTGGTTCCTGGGGCACCTCACAGTCCCAGTCTGTAGGGTTAGGCAGTGCTCCTTGTAGTTCCTGATCTATTTTGAAAAAAAGAAAGTACATGGGCACGAAATGCCCAGAGCAGGACCCTATTATTAATCAAGGAAGGGGAGAAAATGTGTGGCTTGTTTTACTTAAGTTACAGGCAAGAAAAATAGAAGAGACCCTCAGAGAGAACACCTTTGCTAGTTTCTTACCACCTGCCTGTGTTATCACATGGCCATCTGGTGGTTTCCTCCAACCCCAGGGGACCCCCAGCAGACCAACCCCCCCCCCCCTGCCTCGTGACTGCATCAAAGGTGAGAACAGCTGTCTTTGTAGTCCCAGAGACTAATACAAAGTCAGCAAGTCAACAGGTGCTCAGTGTTCAAATGAAATGAAACTGATGTTTAAAAGAAATCTTTAAATGCTATGGGGGAGTTCTAGTTTTATCCAAATACATTTGATTGAAATGTGAATAAAAGGTACGCATTCCATCTCTCAGGGGAATTTCATTCTGGTTAAAGCCTGAATCCATTCTCCCTGCCTTCTCCAGTCCTGCGGACGGTATAAAAATTACAGAGAAAGACCCACAATAAGTGTGCTTTCTGGATGCAGACCGCCTGGGTTCAAATCTCCTTGACAAGCTCTGTAATTCCAGGCAAATTCCCCTCTAGGACATCAGGGCCCCATCTGTGGAATGGGATGTGAAAACGAACCTCCTACAAAGTGTGACAATAGCTCTAAACTGTTTTTAAGTGTCTTAACTTCATCTGGCAGATAATAGCAATTTTGGTGGTTAGTATAAGCTCTTCGTAGAGTGGGGGGGAGTTCTGTCCAGGGCAAATGTGATTTAAACACAAATCCAACCACATAGAGAGTTTTAAATTTTCTACTAGCCAAATTAAAAAAAAACAACTAAAAAGGAACATGAAATTAATTTCAATGCTTGAAATATTTCAGGTATATTAGGTTACATTTAAACATGTAATTAATATAAAAATAAGTGGAATTTAAAAAATCTTTTTTTTAATTAATTTATTTTTTTACATTTGTTTATTTTTGAGAGACAGAGGGAGACAGAGCACAAGTGGGGGAGGGGCAGAGAGAGAAGGAGACACAGAATCCAAAGGAGGCCCCAGGCTCTGAGCTGTCGGCACAGAGCCTGATGCAGGGCTCGAACTCACGGACTGTGAGATTATGACCTGAGCCAAAGTCAGATGCTCAACCGACTGAGCCACCCAGGCACCCCAGGAATTTAAAAAGCTTAATACCAAGTTTTTGCAATGCAGTGCATATTTACATCACCTCTCTGATAAGGACTAACCTCATTTCCAGTGCTCAATAACCACATGTGGATAGGGGCTGCTGGATTAGCTTGGTCTAGAGGTCCACCAGGCTTAGGGAAGATGTATTCGTTTGTCTTTTATGGGCTTCTTCTACCACTAGGGTCAATGTCACTGGAAGGGCCTAAATCGTTAATCTGGGGTTCATAGCTGACCATACTGTGTCTGTTTCTAGGCCACAGGTTAGAGGACAGGCAGTACTTATATGGATGTGGTCCTGACACCTTTCCTGTGACCAGGAACCTAAGTCAGGAGCCTTTTCACAAACACCTGCCCATAATGGTAAAGGAAAGAACCCTGGGGCATGACCTTAAGAAAGAGAATTTCAGAAAGCTCAGAAAAAAAAAAAAATCTAATTTTATGACCAGATGCTCTCAAAGGAAAGATAAAAAGGGAGGGGAAGCTCTAAACAATAAAAATCAGACAACACAGTCACGAATGACTCCAGGGAAGAAAAGTGGGAAGTAGCTCATGAAACTTATATGATGCTTTAGGCCTATGATGACGGTTGATAATCTTGGTTCTAAAAAAATCACAGAAGGATGTTAGTCAGCTCAGGCTGCTGTAACAAAATACCACAGATGGGGTGGCTTGAATAACATTTATTTTTCATAGTTCTGGACACTGAGAAGTCCAATATCAAGGTACTAGCTGCTTCAGTGCCTGGTGAGGGCTCTCTTCCTGGCTTGCAGACGGCCACCTTCCTTCTCATTATGTCCTCATATGGTGGGGGAAACATAGAACACCATCACTGGTGTCCTTTCTTATAAGGGCACTAATCCCATCAGACTAGGGCCCGACCCTTATGACCTCATCCAGCCCTGATTGTCTCCCAAAGGCCTCATCTCCAAAATACCATCGCATTGGAAGTAAGTGTCTCAAAGAATTTTAGGGGGCACAAATATTTAGTCCAGGACAGGCATACAAATACAAATGAATAGTGTGGTCTCTTATGAGTATTAGGAAGTAAAAATTATGGTCCTGAATGAGCTAAGGCTTGCAAACATTACAGAGGAACACAGCAAGGGCTGCTTCAATTACATTCAGTACAAGGAGAGGAAAAAACGGATGGCATTCAGCACCTTGGAAACCTGACAACTTGGAATGAATATCTAGGTCTGACGCTTTCATGGTAACTTAACACCACCTCACCATAGGGTTCCAGGTTTCAGAGAAGGAAACCTGTGCCCCCCTCTGTTTCTGAATGGGCTGCTATAAACAATTTATTCACTTACATCAATCTGTTAATTAAGCAAATAAAGCAACATGTTTATTGTTTCAAAGCCCCGTTCTGCAGATTTAGTCCTGGCTCGCTGGTGTCCTGTCCACCCAGGTGCTCGTGCTGGAAACTTAGGGCGCATCCTTGACCCTCTCTTTCTCTTTTGCCCCAAATTGAACCCATTTCCAAATACTGTCCATCCATCTCCAAAACATCTCTTTATCCGTCCATTTTCTCCATCTCTTCCACCACAGGGATGCTGGTTGAGCCTGGTCATGCTACTTCCCCAGCTCCCATTTGTATTTTCAAATCTTCTTGAAAGGAAATGTGCAGTTTAAAAACTCTAACGTGTTGGGGCGCCTGGGTGGCGCAGTCACTTAAGCGTCCGACTTCAGCCAGGTCACGATCTCGCGGTCCGTGAGTTCGAGCCCCGCGTCAGGCTCTGGGCTGATGGCTCAGAGCCTGGAGCCTGTTTCCGATTCTGTGTCTCTCTCTCTCTCTGCCCCTCCCCCGTTCATGCTCTGTCTCTCTCTGTCCCCCAAAAAATAAAAATAAACGTTGAAAAAAAAATTAAAAAAAATAAAAAATAAAAACTCTAACGTGAAACGTCTGCAATATTTTCCTGCTGATGTTTTTATGAAACTCTCATTTCAAGCCATTTCTAATATGTGTCCTGTAACACTTTTTTTTTCTTCCATATGCGTTATTGGCTTCTGCAGATCCAGATCTTCATTTGAATATTGAAGAACTGAACAAGGGGTTTATGGTGAAAAGTGAGGAACTCTATGACTCTCTCATGAGTTGCCACTGGCAGCCTTTGGATACGGTTCATTCTAAAATCCCAGATGAGACCCCCAAAGAAGCATGATGCTCATTAAGCTACCCAACTGTCAGATCAATTGCATCTTGTTTTGTTGGGGTTTTTGTTTATTTGCTTGCTTTTGTTTTTGTTTTGCTAAGACAAAAAGAATTCTGCCAGGAATGTACTCTATGCTATATGTAAATACAAATCTCCAGGACTTAAATGTGACTGACATGATAGAATGTAATGTTAATAAACTTTACCAGCATATCCATTTCTGGAAGTGTGTTATATTAAATAAGTGCCAGAAGAGGTCACATAACTCTCATGGCAGAGTAAGCTGCACTGTTAGACATTTGAAAATAGGTTTGGAGCCCCTGGGTGGCTCAGTCAGTTAGGAAACTGACCCTTGAATTCAGCTTAGGTCACAGTCTCACAGTTCACGAGTTCGAGTCCCACATTGGGCTCTGCACTGGCAGCATGGAGCCTGCTTAGGATTCTCTCTTCCCTCTCTTACTCTCTCTCTCCCAAAATAAATAAACTTTTTTTTTTTAATGACATTTGAAAATAGGTTTAATAAGAGGTGAGCCTCTGTTTGGGGCATTAGTGGATAGATGTGTAAATGGGTAAAGAGTGTGGAATCACATAATCTGGCTTGATGGCAATTGATGGCCAGAAGTTAGCAGGAGAATGATTATGCTTGAAAATTTGGGGGCCGCTCTGTAATTGAAGCTCAGTTTGGTGGGGCAATATATATTATGACATGCAGAAGTTGGTGACATTTGATTCAGAAGATCTAGATTTAGAAGAAGATAAGTGAGTGAAAGATAAAAGCATCAGCATAAATGCATATGGTGAACAGTCTCCCGTCCTGTGGCTGGAATAGTCCAGACTGCCGCTGCTTTCCTTCTGGTGGTCACTATTAATCCTGTGAAACGATAAACATCCAGCCCAAGCACGAGGATGTCTTTACATTCTCTAATACCAAGTGGAACGAGGGTAACTTGGGAGGTAGCAAATGCTGAGAAAGCAAGAACGGCCTGATACCTCCTTTGGAGATGAACAGATTCTTCCGAATTTTCAAATTAGCAATGATGGGGACAAAGTGTAGTGTGAGCAGCAAAGGACCCCTCTCGTGATTGTAACCAGACAGTGGCAAAGGGAGTGTGAAAAGCAACGATTGCTGCCAATTGGAACAAATTCCAACCTCAAAAAGGGGCAGGAGCTCTAATTCTAAAAGAGAGAGAGAGGAACAAAAAGCTCTTCACAGAGCATCAACATTGTTTACATAAATACCAGAGGTTGGTGTAGTTAGCTGCCTCTACTAAAGTTCTGGGTAAACAGTGATCATCAGTCACTGGTTGGTGTAGTCAGACCTGTTCAGTCCTTCTGCTGAGGGTTAACAGTCAGTCATCTAACTGGTTGTGATAACCCCCACTGGGCCTATTTTGTGGATCAGTGTGGGCCATAGGTAATCAACAGTGGACTTTGCAGTTCTGTTTGTGGTTATTGTGTCCAAGCAGGTGAGCCCCTGAGAGCAAGGGTAGGCAATATTTCCGTGCTGCAAGTAGAGAGATAAGAAAACCGAAGATGGAAACTTGTGCTCCATTCTTAGAGATGACTGCTTGGAAAAATGTCTTAATTTCTGGTGCTGCTATGTTTTGCTCTAGGAAGAACAAGAAAACCAGGGGGCCGGTGGGATGGAATCCCCAGTGTCTGATGAGGCAAGGTTAGGATTGTGTGGACCTACGGACCCTTGCCTCTCATTAAGTAGCCTTCATGGAGATGGGGACTGGGAAGATTAGGCTCCTTCTTGTGATGCAAGAGGGAGGAGGTGCTGAGAGCTGACTAGGGGGTGGGCATCTGGCAGTATACACTGATCGTTGTGGGGTGCTTTGAGACCCAATGGAATGCTTCGGCTTTCCCTGAGTGAACTCTGTTAGGGTTTCAGCAGCAGAAGCCACAGCCCAGCAGGAGTCCCGTAGTTACCGAGATGTGATCTGTCTTCAGAACCCGAGGGAGAGGGGATGTGGCTGGCCTCACTACCTCCTTTCTCCACTGTACCTTCTATAAACAGGCTTCTGACTCAATAATCTGCATGTTGCACAGTCGGCACTTGGTTTTGTCAGTCAACTTATCTTTTCTAGGAAATCTTTTTCTGACTCAAATCTTGGGATTCTGGTGACGTCTTTCCTGTCCTTGGTGACTCTTCCTTTTGATCACAACTGATGAGTGTTCTATCCCTGGGCTCCAATGCAGCCTAAGCCACAGTACCTGCCTCAGCTGATTGGCCAGAGTGATCTCACGACCCTGTTCAATCCATCAGATCTTTCCTCAAATTTCTGAAGACACTCAGTCCTTCTCTGGTGGTGAAGCTAGGAGAGATGGGGCCCAGGAGCTGCTGTAGCAATGTCTCCTACTGTGGGATATGGTGAGTTTACAGAGAGAAGCAGATAGAAGGGCTAGCAGGAGAGAGTCAGGTGCTGTGTATTCTCTCACTTTTCTTTTTTGCACACTATTGTTTTCAAGAATCCCTACATTTCCGATGCAATTCCCTTGTTGGTTCAGCTCCCTTCATTGCAACCCAAAGTGTCTGAATTTAATCAAGTTCTTAATTTGGTCATCCCATGTGGGCAGGTTAGAAAGACTTGGGTGGCGCTCTCTATTTCCATTCTGCTAGTTAACAACCTCCCAGGACACATGCTCTGTCTACATTTTTCTCAGGGTGTGTTCATCCACTTCCTGTACCAGAAGCCCACACATATGTTTGCAGCACAGACCTTTCTTTTGAGCTTCACGTTAAGTGCATCTTACTGCTTACTTGATTACTCACCTTGTGTGCCGACAGGCGTGCTGAAATGACCAGATGTGTAAAGGATTGTTCTTTTACCCATGTTAAGAAACGTCACATTCAATCAAACGGTGCTTACACTCATGCACTTCCCATGGAGGGATTTAGACATGGGAGAGGGGAGATGGATGGCTTCATGAATTTACTGCTGTTACTGGAGGGTAAGTTTCGGGCTTTCAGCTCTAGAGAAAGGTAGAGACTGGGGTTACGGGGTGGCAAAGCTCCCACCTGCTCTAGTGAAGATCTGGCCCAGGTTGGGGGGGTGGGAACTGACCTCTCTGCAGTGGCTGCCCTCACAGGTGCTGGAACAGAACACTTTTTGCAGCAGGTTTAATTTTCTTCTTTTTTTTGGGGGGGGGGTGGTAAAATACACATAACATAAAATTTACTGTCATACCCATTTTTAACTGTGCAATTAGGTGATATTAAGTACATTCACCTTGACACACTACCATTACCACCATTGGTCTCCAGAACTCTTTTCAACCTGCAAAACTTAAAACTCAGTATGTCAATACTACATCCACAATTCTTGCTTCTCCACTCCTGGCAACCACCATTCTACTCTGTGTCTCTATGGATTTGCCTATTCTGGCTATTTCATATAAATGGAATCATATAATACGTGACCTTTTGTATCTGCCTTATTTTCCTTAGCACAATGCCCTTGAGGTTCATCCACATTGTTGCAAATGGCAAGATCTCATCTTTTTTTTATGGCTGTGCAATATTCCATTGTGCGTATACACCACAGTTTGTTTCTCCCTTCATCTGTCAGTGGACGTTCTTGGTTTGCTTCCACCTTTCAGCCATTGCAAATAATGCTGATATGAATGTCCCAGGTTTTGAAGGCAAAGCAGTGTCTAGGAATTACATTCTCTTATGACGACACTTGGGAGAAATAGGTCTGAGCTCCGAGTAATAGGGCTCTTGGCCATCAGTGTTCTCAGCTCACTAGCACACTCCCCAAATGCCATCTGGCCATGGAAGGACCCAGAGGATCACCAACTCAAGGGCCAGTTCCACTGTCTTCTTTCTTCCTGGTGACCAATTCTTCTGCTAAGAAGTAAGACCAATTTTCACAAAGCTCTCAAAATTCTCCTAGGACCTTTCTCCTAGGATAACAAGGCTCTTGGCCTATACTTCTTTTTTAAATTTTTTTTTATGTTTATTTATTTCTGAGACAGAGAGAGATAGAGCATGAGTGGGGAAGGGGCAGAGAGAGGGACAGCATCCGAAGCAGGCTCCAGGCTCTGAGCTGTTAGCACAGAGCCTAATGTGGGGCTTGAACTCACAATCTGTGAGATCATGACCTGAGCCGAAGTCGGTCACTCAACCGACTGAGCCACCCAGGCGCCCCATCTTGGCCTGTACTTCTATGACTATCCAGTCACCTAGTGATTTTTGACACAACCAGAAAGATCTGCTTTGCTTTACGATGACTTTCTATCCATGTATGAAATAGTTGGATCCTCCTCTCATGAAGATGGGAAAAGGCACCCAATTTTATCTCCTTCATTGGGACAACCCACAAAATACATAATGACTTTGGTTAAATGGGTTAGATTTATAGTTAAACACTAGGAAGAAGCCACTTGTGACTAGGTACCAAGTGCAGAAGATTGAAATTTGTTGTAATGTTATCTGCCTTGGGAGTGACCTTGAGGATATTGTTACTGCAAGTTCACAGGCTGGCCACAGGTCTGCAATGTGTCGTAGGCAAGATCTATGATGAAAATAGAGCACATATTCCAAAATGAGAGTTACTGTTTCTAATTGCAATATAGCAAAACCTTGGTTTGTGAGCATAATTCATTCGGGAAACATGCTTGTAATCTAAAGCACTTGTATATCAAAGCGAATTTCAAGAAACATTGTGATCATGTGACACCCGGCATCATGTACTACTCATATAGCAAGACATTGCTCATTTATCAAGTTAAAATTTGTTAGAAATGTTTGTCTTGCAGAGTGCTCACAGAACAAGTTACTCACAATTCAAAGTTTTACTGTATATTATTATTTGTAGCATATTCTTTAAGAAACAAAACAGATGCGGGGCACCTGGGTGGCTCAGTCAGTTGGGCATCCGACTTTAGCCTAAGTCACGATCTCGCGGTTCGTGGGTTTGAGCCCCAAGTCGGGCTCTATGCTGACAGCTCGGAGCCTGGAGCCTGCTTCGGATACTGTGTCTCCCTCTGTCTCTGCCCCTCCC